TATTGCACTGATTAATTGACCTTGGAAATCCTATGTCACTGTGAGGTTTATTAAGGTTTCCCTGTATTTCCTTGCTCTGATACCAGTGTTGATCTGTCTTTCCTAAGTGGTGGTAAATTTCCACCAAACCAACTGCTCGCAGGCCGCCGTTTGTTAGATGATATTCCCCCTTGTGTCAGGGTGGCCACTTATCTTCGCGCAAGGTTAATAAATACACAATGTATTTGTGGGGTCAGGCCAGGTCAATTCCATTTCCGATCAGGCCAGTCTACTGGGTTGTCTCGCCACAATACCATGTTGATTTGTGTACAGAAAATGGCTGGAATTTTTTCATACTTTGCTGCAGTAGGTTTGGCTGTTTATTGTTCTGTAAGTTTATGGTAGTAAACTAGCGAGCAACCGTTTCTCAGGAATATTTTCGATGAGTAAATTTTTTAGGTTCAATATTCAAGTACAAAAGGATGTAAACTAAACAGTGTCTTTCCAGATTTACAGGGCACAAAAAATGCTCTCTCATTCTGTAAAAGCTTGGAAAATTTGGAATGTTTACAAAACAGTTCACCTTTTAGGTATGTTTTATGCCAAAAAGATTTCAAACAGATTTCATGCATTGAAGACGAGTTTTTTAAAGATGCACAAGTGTGAGTAAAGTTCATGGCGTGTTTCCTTTGAATGTTTGAAAATGAAGAATATAACATTCGAAAGTTGGAGTTGGATATGTCAGGCCCATGGGAAGGAATGAAACAAGGCACTGTTTGCACATTCATGCTAACCCCTGATTTTTCTCATCAGCTGCCCCTCCCGGAAGTGTCAGGGGCAAATGCTCCCACGGTGGCTTGCACGATGCCTCAAGGACCAAGATCGCAACCGGAGGTATTAACAAGGAGTCCTCGGACAGGCAGCGATCTCCCCACTTCCACCTCCACGAGCAGGCCGCACTGATGGCCATCCAAGCCACAGAGGATTTCTTTTATCATCCAGGTTAGTGTGGAATTGTAAGCACTATGGACGTGGGTCAAAGCATGGTATTGGGGCTGTCGACCTGTGTATGAGTTTGACCATAGATCAAGTATTTTGTATAGGATTGCTTCACGTTGGGGCTGTACCAACCGTTGTGGGATATTGTCTCAACAAAATTGGTGTTATAATTTGAAAAACTGTTTTGGGGATTAGAAAGATATGGGGGTTGATGCAGGGTAGTACCCTAGCCTTGCCTAGCTAGATGCTATCAGGATTTTTGAATATCTCTCTGAACAGCAACTATGTGTATATTGACACTGGGGGAATTTGTGAACAATACGGGCGATTCACAATAGTGCGCCCCCAAGAGTCTGCAACGCATTGGCCAATCACAACGCACCAAATGTGTCGACCCTTTCTGAACGTGCACTGGGTCGACAGATTTCGCGCATTGTGATTGGCCAACGCGTTGCAGACTCTTGGTGGCGCACTATTGCGAATCGCCCCTATTACTGTCACCTGACTGAACCAAGCTTGGCCTCAGTATTTGCATTTAAATCATCAAAGGAACCATCCATCCTTGAGCACAATAGAGTCAGTAATACGAAGAGCACAGTTGGAATGTTATTCACCTCTGTGGTGGCTCAGATAAATTTTGGTAAAGGAAAAACATCAGTGTAAGAGGCACGCCTATGGTCCCCTCTCTGCAACCTTTGAATTTTTTTTAACTTGCATCAGTATACGCCATGGAAGCGATCCCCAACCCCCAGCTATAGTTGCTCTAAACTACACGGGAATGTGATGGGCACTAACTAATAAAGTGGTAAAACTTTCTTCAACTAGCCACTGGTCTTTACCAACATATCGGTGAGCAGAAGTTCCGTCAGCTCCTGGACTTGGACAAAGGGACATCGCTGACCTTTGTCATTGACGTGTCGGGAAGTATGTCAGACGAAATCAATTCTGTGAAAGAAGAGACCATCCGTCTTGTCAGATTGCACAGTGAGACCTGTCTAGCTGCTTCCAAGTATGTCGTCGCACCCTTCAGTGACCCAGGTGGGTAGTTTTTGCACCTAGTAATTGTTGGGCCAGATTCACATAATTATGTGCCCTTGGTATACTCCTCTTTACACTGGTATCCTCCATCGGCACCGCTGTTTCCACTTGAGTAATTTGGGTTGTCGTAGAAAACTGCTTCCATTGTCGAGTTAAACCTCCACAGACAACTGCTGTAAACTTGGGAAGTAAGGGCACATATGATTTTGTGAATGGATTAAAATGTTGCTCAAAGACCTCTACCGGATTGCACACTACATGAACATCACATAGAATGTGTCTTGGCATCAAGGTTTATGTTTGCACCAGGTGTCATGTTTTTCCTGCAAACTGTAAAATATTATTGCATTATATTTTGATGTTTGCTTTTAATTTTAATTGCGGACGTTGCTTGTCCATTTACTAGTGGAGGTAAGGCAAATTTGCTTCGTTATCTTCAGGCAAAATTGAATTTTTGATTCTGATTGGTCAATCAGCTGCAGAAAATGATGCCAAGATGATCTAAATACGCCCAAACGCACTCAACAACCCTGCAGCAAGAGTTTCCAAATCGTATCTGGCAGAAAATAAAAAAACAGAAACCTTTTCAAAGAATTTCAAGTCCAGCACACTGAACCACCTACTGAGGCAATTTTATGTTGATTCAAGGTCAACTGAAGGGTGCATTCTGCCAAGCAGGAACTCTTGAGTGATTAAGACATTGTCTAAATCAATGTCGGAAGGCATTACCAGTGCCCTTCACGAAAAATTCGACATCAAAGACAATGAACTCATGATGCAAATGAGTCTGCTGAAGCTGTGCTACATCCCTGTCAGTGTTTTGTGATGTGCGCATGTTGGGTTTAATTTATTTCGTTTCGTGTACAGTGCACAAAGGCCCCCATAATATCTTAATACTGTGCATCAAGTTTGCTTGAGGATAAGTTCATTATCACACTCGTGCTTGCGTGACACTTCCGATACGTATGGTTTATTGTAAATAATAAAACAAACTGTTCAGCTTGTGATATTGGACCGCAGAGGATGACATCCCCGTACTTGGCTGTTTCGAGAAGTTACATGAAGTCAGTTTTTCTAATTAAAATTGCATATGATTTAATACCTGATGGCTTCACAATGTTTGAGTGATATGCACAACTTCCGTGATGCCAAGTGTATATGTTGTTACCACAGTACTGTCATGAAAATAAAAGTCGTGGAAAACTATCATATGGGGGAAAAAAAGAAGTGAAAAAGGAAGTAAATACAAAATAGCTAGGGGCTGAGCTGACCGCCTGAAAGCACAAAAACAAGTTCCTTTTAGAGCTTTTACACACACTTGTGTTACCGACACGTGTTTTTCAAGGCAGGATACAGCTGTTATCAGAGCACCACAGAATATTTGGAGTGATGTTTTTACCTTATGATGGAAGGTAAGGTGATGAAGTACACTTCCTTCCAGGTTTGTTATTTTTCAAATGATCAGAGTTGCTTTAAGTTTTAAGTTTGTGCTAAGATTGAATAAATCTGTGACATTTGTTCATGCGGCGATAGGGTATGGACCAGCTCTGGTGACTACAAATGCTCAGAGATGCATTGAGTACCTTAGTAGTTTGACCGCTGGTAGTGGAGGTGACTGCCCAGAATTAGCTAACAGCGGCTTGGAACTCGGTGTCCAAAATAGGTGAGAAACTAATGGCATAGTGTTTGTTACACATTGATACGGAATGGTGAATGCGTGTGGTGAGAATAATTTCACTGTGTGACATACAAGTGTTGCCTTTCCATTCCACTATAAGGTAGAACCAAGTAGAATGGAACATTCTATCTGTCACCTTGCGAAATTATTCCTTCCGGTACATTTTATTCCTTACATTATTTTGTTTTGTGTATCATTTGAATAACTCCGTAAAGAAATTTTTCGCCTGAATAAACCCCGACATCAACTGTCAATTCAGAGGTTTCGTTTAAATGTGGTAAAGAACTTCATTTAGGAGTATAGATCCCACACAAGTTCCACAATTTTGTATGGCAATTGCACTGCCTTGCATAATTGGGACGAAAGTTAGTGACATAACTGCATGATTGATCCACCAATCAAATTGGTGGATTCATTCAGGCATATTGCGCACAAATTGATCAAATTAATTCTGCGAGTTCCTTGCGCAGTACTTCCTCAGTAGTGACTAAGACTAGAGCGTGTAGAGAGGCTGTCTGTGCCTGCATGGCTCTTTGAATGCCAGCAAGCACCTAAGCTACTATAATTGAACATGGCGTACGCAGTGCAGGCATTGTTGGCCCAGTAATGAGTCTGCCTACGGAAAAATCTGCTGTCCTGATCTACTACTCCGATCCCAATGCAACCTCGGAACACATCAAAATGAACCTGACTCAGTCGGATTTGCATTCAATTCAGTTCAGTTCACTCCAAATACTTTTATTTCCTCCTCATGAGAAAATATAACCATCAGTCCTACCAATGTATGAGTCAGTATAGCCACTAGAGGTGGCAAAACCTTGAAAGCAGAGCTTGTGTCAGGAATGCCATTACAAGAAACAAAGAAGACAATACCAAAGAAGCAACAAAGTACAAACAGGTTAACCATTTACTTGTGTACAAAATGAGAGTCAAAAATAATGATGAATAATACTGTATGCAATGTCTAATTAGATCATGTTGATCATCTTGCCCATATGAACTTACAGAATGCAGCTTTGTGTTTGACATTTTTAAAACGCATGACCTTGTCTGCCATCTTGAGCACGTGATCAGATCGCCAGGTTTGGAGCAGTTTTGAAGCTCCACACCCGGCTGATCACATGCTCAAAGCCAGTGGCTCTGAAAACCAGTTACAGGCTATAGAATGCCCAGACAATACTGGGAAGGCACGGTGTCTGAAACTGAATGCCTGGAAGACCAAGGTATCATGCACATTGGTGGGGCAGAGGATACTGTGAGCCTTGGAGGCACAGTGTAGAACAAGTCATGGTGTCGCAGTTCAAGTACCCAGGGCCCCTGTAAAATGCCGAACGGCAACTGCTCTACTGACATCGAGGGTAGGCCAGCAATGGCCAAAAATGTGTCTTGGAGCCGTTTCCCATCTGAAAAGACAGAGTTGTGAGCAAACAAGTCAAACCACATTGTACGTGCCGCATGTCACCATCTGGGCCTGTCCTGACCTACAGCATGGAAGCAAGGATCATCGTAAGGGGGCAGGGACATGAGGCTTTGATGCCATGTAAATCTAGGTGCACTGAAGGTTGTTGGCGAAAAAGTAGAACCAACGACAACTAGTATTCTCCAAGAGCTCCACACTGAGCAAACCTTGATCACCACAATGACGAACACATGTGGAGTTTCTTCTGTCATACCCACAAGTAACAATAACCTGCAATGTAATTTCAGGATAACCTAGAATGATGATGCGTATAGGCCAGCCCAGGCATTATGACAATGTGTGTGACTGGACAGGCTTGTCGCTTGGGGATGTAGTGAGAACAACCACAGATAAGGCATCGTAATGGGATGTGGTTGAGAACGAAAGCTGATCTCCTTCAACAGAAGCCTTAAGAAGATAACTTGTATAATAATGCACATCTGATAAATCTCAATTAAACATGGTTTGGCTAGAGTGCCTTCTTCGTGCAGTGATTCTTAACTTATGTGAACATCTGCTGCCTCTAACTCGGCCATCAATTTAGCACATTTAATGGCTTGATAAAGATCCATCTGTCTATCATAAGGTTCATAACTTAGTAACTGCGTATACCTCTGTAGGCGCTTTTTTCATTCAAAGTGTTTACTTTAATGACACCATAATTATGCTCACATAAAAACTGAACTACCTGGCATATTGTGGGTAATCAATCTGAAGTCTCTTCCGTTAAGACAGGGTTGGCCTTTCCACACTTTATCAAACTCCTGGAAGACGTACAAGTTGGCCACCTGTGTTGTCAGCGTGGCTTCTTGTTGACTCGAGATGACCAAGACCATATTTTTTTTCTCTTTGTCCATGCAGTATCAACGGAGCCAATGTATACCTGTTCACAGATGCCTCAGATAAAGATGGGGAGAAGCTGCCAGACGTGCTAGCATTGATTGAGGAGAAACAGGTCCGCGTCAATTACCTTTTAACTGGCACTTGCTCATCCAGACGACGTAGACGAGGTAAAGTTACGGGACCATGGACTCAAGCATCCGCTTTTTCAATTGGGGGGCCTGGCCCCCTGCCATTTTTTGCAGGTCCTATAATTGGGTGGGGCTCGATGGATCAAGCTATTAATGGATTTATCTGATGGTCTAACAACTGGCCCCCTACTTTGAAAATTGTTCCGCTGCCAGTAACCATCTCTTAAATCTTGGTCAATCATGGCCGGAGATACCCCTAGACGTGAAAAGCCATTATGTGATTATAATGTGCAGTTGTGTGCGTTATTGGAACCGAGTTTGTATGTATGGTTTGTACATAACAATCTACCAGTTGGTACGACTGAATATTTAGATATTCGATCGAATCGAAGGTCGAATATTGGAATAGTGAATTATTTGAATTGACTCAGCCCCTGCTGTCACACACTGGCTCTTCTGCTAGAGGATTTTGTACATCTTCATGTGATACCTACACATGAATTATCTTGTGCATCATTATCAGTGTTACCGTCACAGTATGTACGTATATCAAACACATTCTTTGTTTTTTCCCATTAAATTAGTTGGTGCAGTAGCATACTGACTACTTCTTAATATTACTAAATACGGGCGTTTCACAATAGAGCGCCTCTAAGAGTTTGCAACCTGTTGACCAATCACAGTGCACGAAAGCTGTTGACCCATTGCATGTTTGGAAAGGGTTGACAGATTTTGTGCGTTGTGATTGGCCGTCGCGTTCTGTGCATTCCTGCAAATTTTTTGGAGCTTGTCCCGATCCAGTCTGATGAAAAAGTGAAACTTTTACCCCTTACTATAACACAGAAAGGTAGCCTCACTGGCCAGAGTACGGGTCAAGTCTTTCCTTAATGATATACAAGTTTTCAAGTCCCATGCCTTTTCTCTTATCCACCAATGTTTCTGCAGCAATTGATCGGTCATCATTGCCGCCATCCTACCAAATTATTGCCGAGGCATCAGGTGGGGAGATTTACCAGACTGATAACAGGGGCATCAGTGACTTAGTGCGAATCATCGAGGGCGACATCCGTGCCTCCCAGGTAAGGCTAAGAAAAGATGGAGGATGATGTTCGGTTATAAGGGGATCTCTAGCTATGGAATGCGACGAAATAATTCTAGATGAGGGCAGCATGATGTGACTGTGATCAGAGCTGTTTATAGAGAGAGTTGGGACATGAATGTCTCAGTTGTTGGAACCAAACTGGTGAATTATGCGACAGATAACACACAATAGCTGTATCTTGTGCTGAACACAGCAGCCATTTTGGTTCCAAAGTATGACATTGACACAAATCTATCTGTCAATAGCTCTTGGTAGAGCTCAGTTGTTAGAGCACTGTTACGGTGTTCCAGAGGTCGCAGGTTCAAATCCCGCTCTAGTCAATTTCTTTGTTGATCTTTATAAATAGCTCCGATTGTGATAAAAAAAGTTTCATTACTCACACTCCACAGTGTTAAATGTAAGTCTGTATAGAGGGATTTCACATTAGCTCCATCTGCGCATATCCGCATTGAAAGCGAGGCTCTCTGTGTTGAACTTCGTCGAGCGCACCCGCGGAGTCGACACAGTACATGCAGTATCCGGTTTGTAAGTGTGGCGCCACTTCAGTTGAAACCACGCCCACTGCACAAGATACACGACCATCGCAGGTACGTTAGCTCACGGTAAATTGCCGTTATTTTTTCTTTTGATTTTACGTGTTGAGTCGTCCTGAAAGACTCTTCCATTAAAAGTTGAAGCCTGGAAAGTCTGAATTTAACATGCCTTTATGTATTTTGTGTCTTGACTCCTTACTTTCCATCGTCTGATCGTATTAAGAATTGAAGCTAACACATACAGCCTCGTTTTCAAACACGGAAATGCGCAGATTGAAGCTAAAAGCATCGTATTGGGATCCCTTTATTCGGTATGTCAGTCGTCAATCAAAGCCCGGGACATAGTGGTTGCACTTTATCCAAGATATACGCAGGCAAGAAACACGTTTCTTCTTCCAACAGGTGACAATAACGCAGAGGTCCTCGTTGAATTTGAATGCTGTCAATATAAACATACCAGTCGATTCCACCATACAAGAGGTCCTGGTGTCGGTAGTTGGAATCTTGAGTGGTGACTCAGTGATCATTGAGCATCCCAGTGGTGAGCACAGTGAATAATATTCTAAATATAACTCATCTCAAATTTCTTTTTTGAACAGGTATCTCAGCTTAAAATTTAGTTTTTTGGGGGGCTTTCAAAAGTCTGCAAGAATTGTTCAACTTTTGGGTCATTTTATTTAGAACTGCCCCTGGTGTCTTCTTTGGCAATCTGAATTGAATTAAGCATAATGCATTATATGCTCTATTACAAACGGTCAGTTTTTAAGTTGCATGAAGAAACTGGGAAGGTGATTATTTCAGACCAGCCAACATGCCGTGTTCCTTCCTGAGGTCGGGCATTACCACAAGATAGATTAAAAATTTAAGTGAACTGAAGGCTTATTTAAGTACCTTTTAATCTATTTTGTGGTAATGCTAGAGTACTGCTCGGTTGGCAGGTCTGCTGTTTGCCTTTAAAATGATTATAAAAAAGAACAAAGAATTTGATTTGGGCGGGATTGGAGCCCCTGCCTCCAGCTCTACCAAGGGAACTCTCAAGCTGTATTGTCACCTCCACTTGTCAGTATTTTGTTGGGTGCGTATTGTACGCAAGTCCGACGCCTCATAGGTCCGACGCCTCAAAAGTCCGAATTTTTGGACTTATGACGCATCAAAATAATGAGATGTAGGAATTATGGGCAATTTTTTTTTCAGCCTCATAGTTCTGATGCCTCATAAATCTGACATCGTACTGACCCTGTTAGGAAAACTAAATCAAGCAGACTACCTGCGCAGTCGTACACTGGTCCACTATTTGTTTAATCCAAAATACCACTTCGTGTAAGAATGATGTATGATACTTTGCTAAATATAAAAAGCATTTTCTCGACTGTTATACTTTTGAAATCTTAAAAATGGTTGTATGTGTCATAAATAGCATACCATACTTGACAGTCTTGTTCCTAGCACCGTCCTCATACGCTCGTAACGAGAGTCAAATCAAACGTCGGACTTTCGAAGTGTCAGATTTTTTGAGGCATTGGATCTATGCCATGGGCCAAAAAACCGTTGGAACTTTTGTCAGACTTATGGGACATCAGACCTATAATAGGTGTTGGACTTATGAGGCATCGGACCTATGAGGCATTGGACTTATAAGGTGTTGGAATTTTGAGGCATTGGACTTAGGAGCTGACCCCCATTTTTGTACACGGCCGCTGATAAGTTTTATGCTCAAAATCTCCATGATACTTACTTTTGTTTCGATTATATGATAGATGTCTTATAGACCACTCCCATTTCCCCTATAACAAAATTTGCAGAAATGTTGCCTTTTGATTGGTTTTCGATTTCACCTCCAATTTGTTCAAAATTCTAGAATACACAGCTAACAGAACACTAGATAATCATACACTCGTACTGTTCACCAACAGCCAATCATAGCTTTAGCAGCCACTTGTCCAAAAAACATGCCTGTGATATCAAAAGGGCAGACCCTATAAACAGAGGCAGTAAATCAGTCATTGCATAGCTCTGCATTGACAGATATGACAATCAACTGCCAGTAATGTTGGGCATAGTTTGTTCGGCAATAGTACACCTGTTGCTAAGTGAAAGTGTCAGCAAACGGCCATTCTTGGAGCATGGCCAAAATATGATAACGAAACCGGCCGGCATGCAGATGAGAATATGCAAAAACTTTTAACCAGTGAGATTTCTTGAACCCGCAGGTTAAAGATGTGCATGAGATTGAATTAGACAAGGCCAAAGCAGTTCAAAAGCTGCAGGCTAGAATCTAAATTTGATTTGAATCTGAGAGTCTCAGCTCAGCCGGATCTAATCTGATCTGATGGCCTTTGTGGCTTGATATACATCTGCTTTGAATCCATTAAAAAGTGCTGACTTGGATCCGAATCCCGGAAATCTGAACTCGGATAAAGAAGTTTCGTGAGTCACCAACTGCATGTAAAATTAACAACTGCTATGGCACTATTAAAACACTTCAACAAAGTTAATTAACTTTAAATAGCACCTTTTCTGGAAACGGGAATTTGTTCAATCAATTATTGTCCGCAAATGATGGATCTCATTCCATATTTATAGGCACAGAAGGTACTCCAGCTGAGTTGAGAGCAGCTGTATACACAAACTCGGCAGAACAGATCGTGTTCAGCATCAACGTCACGGAACCAGACACGAAGGGAGCATGGGTGGTGAAACTGCGTAACTTGAACCTGGCGACAGAGTACTACATCAAAGTGTCCGCCAACAGCGTGCTGGATTTCACATTTGACATCCTGGAGACAGACGAAACAGGGACTGCTTACCCCGTCGACGGGAAACCAGTCGCAGGTGAGTGCCAGATAGGAATTTTCTTTTCAAATAAATAACAAGTTGCGAGTTAAAAAATGGCTGGTACCCGTCTGAAATAAGATCAATCTTGCAATAAAACTTAGTGCTTTATTGCAGTGGGCCGGTGCTCCTGGTTTTCTTATTTTACCATAATATCACATTAATAAGGATGTGATGGGCAAGAACTTTGGAAACTTGTATAAACTGGAATTTTGCCTCATTTTTTGCTTTCTTATTCGTAAACTTTGACCCAGTAGTTGGAAAAATTAGCTCCAAAACGGAGGCAGTGGATGAATTGACCAACTCACACTGGTAAAAGTACACAAATTGAACAATGAAATTAAAGAATTTGACATGTCTCCAAGGAGCTGAGGTGCTACTCACCGTCCAAGTCTCAGCTCCGGAAACCGTGTCCTCCGTCAGCGAGATAAAACTGTACAATGCCAATGGAAATGAAATGCTGGTAACAGCGAGTGCTACGCCTGTGATGGGCAGGACAGAGGGGTTATTCATAGCAAATATCTCCCTTCCAAATGAGGTTAGTTGTTGTTTTGAGCTTGTAAATCATAGTGGTTATAGTTTTCTCTGAGGTTTTTCTGGAGTCATTCATTTTTTTGAGCAGTTGGACAAAACATTGATTGCGTCTTTCTAAACAAGAAAAAGTAATGAATAAAACATAAGGGGAAGTTTAAGTTGCCAGACAAAGATTATACAGTGAGACTTGTTTTAAAAATAGACAAACACATAGCATATAGTTCAAGGGGCCTGCTAACTATTGAGGTCATATTAGCCTCAACAATGTATTCTAGAGCCGAGCACAACTAGTTGTTTCGCCATTGTAATGTAGATTGTTGGTAGAGTTTTTTATTTAGTGCGTGGTCCGGTTTCCAAATTACAGTGCAACTCAGCAGCAATTTTTATACGTTTGTACCTTTGGCTAGTGTCTTTTGACTGTTTGAAATTCTGTCAGCCGTTCTTTGTCAGCATCGTTGGGGAGGACACCCAGGGCATGGAGTTCTTGCGGACACAGCCATCAGAGATCAAAGTTGTGGAATTCAAGCTGGAGGAAGTTTTGGGCTCCAACACCGTAGGTTGGTAACTTCTGGCGGTTGTGGTTAAGCATAGCACCTGCTAGCTTGGGAGGGTCCATACCGATGAAAATTAAACCACAAAAAGTGATCAAATCACTTGTTTGAGTATATTTTCTTCATCTTAGAACTGTTGACTATTTGAATGAACCAAATAAATGGGAAAAGAAATGCAGCCAAACAAAAGGTTTAGATCCTTCCTCTAAAAAAAGTACGATTTTTTGAAAGACGGGGAATAATCTGTCATCACACTAAATGTTTTCCTCCAGGGCCATTCGCATTGGCATATTCGGAATATCTGTAACATATATGAGGACCGGGTGGCAGGGGGGGATGTAGATCCAAGTGGGTGTTGCCTCAGAACTCGGCGGTGACTATGTGACGGCACGCAGGTTCTAGTTGGATTTTTACGTGTATGAGCCCAGAAGAGGACGGTTGAGTCAATTAGCCTCTCTCTGGCTACATGTATTTATTCTAGTCTGGGCCTGAGGGCCACCTGTAAAGATATGGCAGGCAATGCCTTGCATGTCTAGCAACCGCATGGGCTGAGAGCTTTGAACAGGTAACATGTAGTATGTGCAATACAATCTGAGCAACGCTATGACTACAATAGAGCCTGAAAGTTGACCCCTGATGGCGCGCGTCCGAAACCCTGGATAGGAAAAATAATGTGCAACGATTTTAGAATTTGTAATATTTTTTCATTCAGTTATAATTACTTCTTAAAAAATCCAACTTGGAAAAGGGGCTTTGGAAAATATTTGCTAGTATATCAATTTATAGAAACTAAAAAATCACCTGACCTAAAAGAGAAATATCCTGCCAAAAATTGACCCATCACTTCCGAAAATCGATAATACATGAAAACAGTGCAATGCGCCAGTCTCGTGTGGTAGTCTGTGGGTAAAAGCCAAAATAAAACAGATCAAAATATTATTAAATGTTAAAATGTTAGTCCTATAATTTACAAGTAGTAAACCTAAAGTAATATTCTACTTCAATTACGAAAGATTCTAATCTTTTATCTAACCTTTGCTGACAACAACTGCATGATGTCAACGGAATCTCATCTGGAACCCACTGACTGCAAGTAGGTAAATCTTTGCAACGTTGTACAATCTCGTTTTCATGTAAGCACGGGCAGTGAAAACAGATATGTATGAACATGGAGACATAAAGGAAGTGAAAGGTCTTTAAGAAAATTCATTTTGTACATATCTCATTGTAACTTCTCCTAAACATTAGTTGAGGAAAACAAAGGTAAACTTCCAACATGAGTGTTTCATGAGGTGGTTTCAGTTAAGAATGATTCTTCCAAAAATTATCGAACTTGATAGGACGGCCCAACGTAAAATCCCCACAGGAGGACCGCGCGAGGGTTCCGAAAGCTCGCTGCGTGACCTTTTACTTTCTAGCTCTATTACTTCATAAAAATCATCCTTAATCACAATAAACATATTGGTTTATTAATATATAAATCTACTCTTCCCTAAAACCAACAATACTTTTGCTGCCTTAATTAAGATCAGTGTAGTCTCTTTTCAAGTCAAAGAGTGGATAGTCTCCACTCAAGTTGCATTTACATAATTACAGTAGTGAAAGTAAAGTGGAAAGAGAATAAAGAGGCAGAGAAAGGCATATGGAAGAAAAATAGCAAAAAAACCCACAACGAATCATTCATTACAAATATATATAAGAGGCCACTGCATGACCAGTGCAACTATTTCCCAATCCCTGGCTGCCAGCAATTTTCAAGAAAATTTCCCCTTGTGTGTTCTTTACCTATGCAGTCCAGTGCCTTCCATGCCCTTGCAATAAAAATGTAATCAGCACATCTTGTAATGAAAATAAAAGGGTAACTCCATGGTAACACTGACATATTGGCAGGGATTTTCACAGTTTGTTCAGTTCTGTCAGGTGGTGGTAGGAAGTTAGGGTGTAATAAATGTAGCACTGTTTCTGTATTGGAAGTGTCCCTGTAACCTTCTATCATAGACATATCTGTCAAAATTGGGACTGTGCAAACATAAGGTACAGCCGTGTGTTGCCATGGTCACAGACTGACACCTTGATTCACAACTTCCCCTTTTTGATAAAAAATCATAGAAGTTGCAAATGAGAAGCAGTAATGTGTAAAATATATCGTAAAGACATTGTCCTTGCTACCTGTTAACATGCTGATTGTTTTCCAACATCACTGCCTTGCCACCAGTGCTTGACATGGTACTGTTCTTCAGCGAAAAAAAAATTTGAAATGTAGGATAACAGTTGTCACAGAACCGCCTCGAGTGTTCACTTTAACCCCTCTGCAGACGATCTCGTGCCTGGGGGGAACAGCAGTTTTGCCTTCAGAGTTACAAACAACGGCCCCAGTGACCGTATGACTGTGACTGTGTCAGTCCTTGACACGGCTGTCAACTCTTCGGCCAGCACCCTGGCAGATGTCTCAGGCCCAGTAGTCACTGCTGCCGTGAAGCCGGCCATCATGGTGCTGGGTACTGGGGACATGGGGGATGGGTTGGTGATAGTGACTGCTGCCAAGGATGCACCTGCCGGCACATCTGTGTAGGTCTACTATCAGCAGTTTTGAGTAACAACTATAGTTAACTATGTAGATTGGCCAACGTCACCCAAATGATGGATGTTTGGACCAGTAGGAACCTGCTGCCCTGATGCATGGTCGCACCACTGGCTATCAATAGCTGATTAGGAACCATTTACATGAAAATTACTGTACAAGATGTCATATACCACGAATGCTGTGAGGCATGGCAACTAGTGTGAGTGATACGGGTTTTCACAACCTAGGGCCGTTTGTTACTGAGTGTTTGTGCCTGAGCATTGTTAAAAGCACTTGATTAGTGGTCTAACTATAGTACGCACCCAAACTTGCTCCAGAGTGAGCATGAGGCACGTGTAACCTGTGAGTGACAGAGGTCCACATTTAGTGGAGATATTAAAGACGTTGTGCTGTGTAACGGAGGGAAGGGGAGGGCCTCATTCCATTGCTCTCTTTGTCTTGCTAACAAGAAATTTTGTTGTCTAGGCAATTCCATCGATCATTTCAGGGTAGGAAAACTTTGTCTGGTCCACTGAACTAAGGTGGACATCCCATCAATGGAAATACAAGCCATCATATAATAGTAAATTTTCCTTTCACTCTACAAGAGCGGGGTCATTTGGGCCCATCTCACAGCTGCGAGGGGATTATACCCCCTCCCCCTGAACTCGGCTGTATCTTGCTTGATTTTTTTTTTTAAAATTTAGCATGCATGTAAATGCACCCCTTATCATAGCTATGAAGTTTGAACTGAATCGAACATAAACATGTAGTTTTTTGTTGCCGTCATTTGAAGTTCAAAAGTACATGCAATATGCCAGTCCACGTGCATCGAGCACCTCAGTGGAAAAAGTGTACATTTCGGCTGATCTGTCTCGGGAAAAATGCTTGCTGCACAAGAATGATATGTCCGATTTTAACAAAGCTGGTGTCAAAATGACCGCAAAGAGTGACTCTGAAAACTTGTCAAGGCTCAACTCCTGAAAAAATGCGCTGTGGTGATATTGACAAACAGATTGGGGAGGGGTTGGGTTCTCCCCGGCTCTCCTAGGGATAAAAGAACCCCTTTTCACTCAAAATCATGTCCTTAGAACATAGACCGAGGCATTCAAAAAAAATGTTGAAATGTCAAAATAGTGTTCCCTGAAAATTTTCTTGCACTTTATATCCAATGCAAAACCTGTACCTGTATGTACTTGTCTTTCCAGCAAAGTGACGTTGTCTGTCGAGAGTTCTCTGTCTTTGGCACTGAACTTCCTTTCAATCGATGCCACAGTCTTTGCAGTGGAGAATGATACATATGTAAGTAAAGTCCTCACCCATTAGGGTGAGTCAGCAGCAAATCATATGCCCTTTGCACAATAACCAAGCAGTTCAAAATATTTGATTCATCAGAACCCACACACTTGTAGAATTCCTTGGAAACCGGGAGTTACATGACTAGATTTTACATTTTGCTAAAGAAGTACATTTGCACTAGACCCCTTAAGACTGAAACACGGTTTGTCTGCACACTTATTTATTGCACACAGGCATGGGCTGAAATCTTGAGGGGGTAGGGAAATCCCCCCTCCCCCACTGGGAGGTTTTGGACGGGACAAGGGTCATATGATTGATCTCAATCTCAGTTACCTTTGAACATTTTAGTTTCGATGTGAGGCGCCACATATATATTAATTGTATACATCATGTATTGGGAGGGTTATGTATTGGGCTCACGTTATAGGTTTCGTTGGAATACAAATTAGGAAAAAATTAATGCATGTAATTTTCGTTAAACCATGTTATGATGCATGGCAAAAAATACCAGGAGATTTCAAAGCATCAGAAAAAATGCAAAGATGCTTCAAAACATCACCAACGTAGTTTGTAGCCCCGACCCTCAACAGTCATCCACTTCCCTCCCCCCCACCAACTTGGATTTATGCCACTGCACACATCATTCTCATTTGATAATGCACAAGTGGAAAAGGGTTGATCTAGTCTTTGAAGGGTCACGGGTGCATGATATCAGTTGCATTCACACTCAGCAAACCTCTGTGTTACCTGTGATGAGGAGTTCTGGCGGCAGATATTGGGGGTTGCCTCAGTAAGGCATGTAACACATTTAGCCGTCCCCCCACTTTGAAAATGGATCGTTCCACCTCCATTCATGAGAGGCAGTAGGTAACAGAGCCAAGCAGATAGCAGAAAGAATTATTCAGTCTGGAGATATAATCGAAAACAGCACTTACAAAATGTCTTTTACATCCTGTAGGAAAATCCAGATGAGAACGATGATACACCACCCAGCTGTGAGATCCTGAGTTCTGGGGGTGGCTGCACGGCCCAACAGATGAGCAGCAACTGCCATGAACATGAATGGTGGGTGCGTGCTCAGGCCACGGACAACTCCATCTTGACTGAAGTTGTGCCGGACTCTGAGATCGAGAATAATGGCACAGGCAAACAGTTGTTTGTCTACGAGAGATTCTTACCAACTAATATGACCCTCAAGTACTCGTAAGTTGTTAGCTTGACCAAGGCATCGTAAACACTTCTTGGAAATTAGCTGTTGGATTCAAAGTTGATGAACACCCTCAAGGGCTTTGAGTCAAAAACTGGTGTAATAAATTGTAGTGCATTTTTAATGTGGGAGTTAAGGAACACACTTTCATACCACAATCTGTGAAATCGGAAAAAGTAAACTATTTCCTGATATTTTGTGATAAGATGCAACGTAGTTGTATTAACAGAGAAATTGCCAGAATCCAACATGGGTTCTTAAACTTTTCCTCTAAGAAAGAGGGACAAAATATATAACATCAGGGAGAATTCACTGAAGACATTTAGCAGAATAGAAGATCCATCTGCAGATCCTTTGACATGGATATCTTTGATTGTATCATTCCTTGCCGTTTTATTTTATAGTGCCACCTGCTGTTGTCCAATCATGAAATTCACAGTTCGCGACGGTGCAGGCAACCAAGCTTCATGTGGGCAGGATTACTACACCGCAGTGGCTGGAGAAGTAGAGAAACCCCAGTGTAATGGACCGGTACTGGTAGGTCCAACATTCTGTTACAATTAACATAGCATCTATGTATCAGCTCTGCAGACCTCAAAGTTATTGACGAGGGGGCATTTATAAAGAGTGCGGTGGATCTAGTACTGGTACATATACCTAGTTAGGAGTGGACAATGGCACTTTATAGAAATTGTCTTGAATATTCCCCTAGGAAAGTCTAGATGATAACATCCCACCCACCTGCCGTGTCTTGAGTACTGGAGGTGGCTGCACAGCCGAACAGATGAGCAGTGATTGCCACAAGCATGAATGGTGGGTGCTTGCTCGTGCCACCGACAATTCCAATGTGACTGTGGTTGTGCTGGACCCTGAGATCGAGATTGATGGCACAGGCAAACAGTGGCTTGTCTACGAGAACATTTTACCCGCTAATGTGACCTTCGGTTATTCGTAAGTTGTGAGAGTATGAGAGTTATTTTTTCAGAGTTGGCTGTAGAGTTCAAAGTTGATTGGCAATTTTAATGAAAAGCTAGCTTTGAGTTGAAAATTTCTACTGCAAACAGCTGCAAATTTTAAATGCAAGACTAGAAGCAGAATAGAAGATTCATCTGCAGATCATTTGACATGGATATCTTTGATTGTATCATTCCTTGCTGTTTTATTTTGTAGAGCCACCTGCTGTTGTCCAATCATGAATTTCACTGTTCATGACGGTGCAGGCAACCAAGCTTCATGTGGGCAGGATTACTACACTGCACTGGCTGGAGAAGTGGAGAAACCCCAGTGTAATGGACCGGTAAGTCTTAAATGCATTCTACTGCAGCAAAATATGAAAAATCTCACACCTTGATGCTCAATTCTTTCACCTTTGGGGGGTCACCAAATGCTAACCAGGATTCCTGCATCTGTATCTGCCAAACTGTATCTTCATATCTGTTACTTATGCAATTACTTATTCCTGAAGTCTGGTACCTATATCTCTGCATTCACTTTTCATATGCATTCATCCCTTCGGGATACTGGTACCATCCTGCAGCATTGGACTTAGTTCAGAATGGTTTATTACATGCATATCAATTGTCAACCTAATTTTGTTTCCTATAAGGTAGTGTGCTCATAAAACAACAATGCAACAGTCATTTGATCTCGTACAGTCTCAGCTGGGTATTAGCGTTTTTCAACACACCTGCAGTTCTCTGTACTCGCAGTTACTCACTGGCACTGGCCCAAGCACTGGTGTGATTGTGGGCATAGCTGTTGGCTCCTTGGCAGCACTGGTCATCATGGGAGCTGTGGTCTTCTTCGTGGCCAAGCATTTATTTGGAGTGGGCGGAAAGGCTACCCATGATTTAACCCAAATGAATGACTACTCCAACAGTTGCGAACTGCTCTCCTACAACAAACCCAATGTGACCACTGATGACAGTCCCCACGAGATGGGATCAGGAAATGCAGGATGTGCTACTAGCATGACTGGGTTTGACTTGGAAAACACTTTGGAGTGAGTTACTTCAGTTTATTGCCAGCACTTGCACACACCAAGAGGTGATAATCCTTGGGGATTGCAGGTTGAGGTATGTGCAAAATTGCACTCCAGTACTAGCAAATTTTCCAATAAAGCTCTCATCCTGAAGTTAAGTGTAAAAATTCAAGAACACATTTGGTATAAGACGGTGGTTTTCAGATTTTTGTTTGTGAAAGGAAATACAGTTCTCATCTTGTTTTTTCTGTGATTGAAAAAAACAATTCTAATTCAGTTGCCACATTCCTCTTGGTCTTGGGTGCATTTTCTCCTGCATTTATCCCTCAGTTTGAATACTGAAGTGACTCCGTGCCTAGCTCTTGATTTAGTTACTTCATTAGCTGGCTATCGAGAGAGTTGGCTTCAAAGCTAGTTTGTGGAGCAAATTTAATGTTACAAACTGATTTTGTTAACCTTTAGT